ACTCCATATGCTAACCTATGCGATGACATTCCATGCACATATATGCCTTTTCTTGAGGGTTAATTCCCGTGGATTATTATAAAACTGACCTGACAGTTCAAAACTCTTAAACAATACTTTCACGAAATGATCACCTGAAATTTTTTGAAACGGTCAGGGACGCTTAATGCAGCTACATAGGGTGCTTAAAGATCGTATTCAGTTAACAATAATTTCCCTTAACTCTGCCTGTGGGGAACAGGATGTGCAGGAAACTTTTTTACTCATTTCTTAACACTTTGACTGCGACTGCCAAAAGTAGCCCGTAGTTTGCCATATTGCGTGTACCACATATGGCGCACGTCGTTGTCAAAGTGTTAAGACGGTTTACAACCATCACCGATTAGGTTTTCCACAGGCACTTTATCTTCTCGCTATAGGTGACTGTCCTCCCAGCTCTGTTACTCATCAATATTAAATTCCACCTAACAAGGAGAACGAACATATAGAGGTTTTGGCTCATGTTCCTACCTATGAGACATTCGTAATTCCCTTCATAAAAAATGTTGGTGTATATGATATGTACCTAAATTACAATAGTGAATATCGATGTGTGCCATTCTACTGCTGATACCAGACCAACCTTGAATGATCGTTGGTGAATTGGCTACGCATTCTTATTTTTTGGTTTACCCGCGCGCAACGTCACATGGCAGCGTCCAATAATAACTACCAGCTTATAGTGCGGAATTTGCAGGTTTGCGGCTTTAATAATGACACAAATGCGTTAGGTTTGATTTATTTTGATGAATTCGTTTTCATGTTCTGCAGTTTAGTTATTGGCCACATATTAATCAGGAATATAATGCTTAAGTTTGTGTTCTGATCTTGGCATATATTTTTCTCATATGTGCTCTCGTTAAACCTCGATAGTGCTACCCAAAACCCTTAAGATTCCACTAGTTTTGAAAGACCAGTTTAGTGTGGCCCATATTCAGATGCTTGTTTGCGGCTTTAGGTTTTGCTGTGAACAGTTCTGAAACTTTCTATATAAGAGCTATAGTTCTCAGTTCTGACATATTATAACTGTTCACAGCAAAGTTATATCTAGCGCTACTTATGGTTGTTGAGCTCTTAGGATTTGAAGTTCTAGTTAGAGACTTAGGAGCAATTTTGTGAATTTTCTAGGCGTTTATAAACGTATACGTTTGTATTTGCT